AGAGACAATGAGACAGACAGAGAGCACAGGGTCCTCAGAGAGAGGCCTGGGGAGGTCTCAGCTCAGAACAAGCTGGGGCCACCCTCACCCTCCTTCCTCTCTCCAGGACAGCTCCCTGTCACACCCTCCCTCTCAGTGCAGCCTGGTCCCACAGTGTCCTCAGGRGRGAAYGTGACCCTGCTGTGTCAGTCACAGATCAAGATGGACACTTTCCTCCTGTGCAAGGAGGGGGCAGCTGACACCCCAGCCGACGTGTTTAAGATCAGAGCTTCAAGCTCCACTCCCAGGCACAATCCTCCATGAGGGCTGTGAGCTCAGCCCCTGCTGGGCGGGGCACCTACAGGGACGGATTCTGTCCCTCCCACTTCTCCTGGGAGGCTGGCTCTCTGGGAAGGCCTTTCCCTCCAGCCCTGGGCTCCCCATCTGATCAGGGGAGCTGCCTGTCCTGAGCACCATCCTGGTTCCTGGCCTCTGGCTCCTGGGCAGCGGGTCCTGGAGCRGGTCCTGGGCAGCGCTCTCTGGGCCTGCATGGCTTCTCTCAGTGACTGTGTCTGTGAGGACGGAAGCACCAAGGTGGGGAGCAAGGCCGTCCTCAGCCGTCCCGGGGCTCGGCTTGGAAAGCGGAGACACAGCATTTTGGAAACAACAAAGATTGATCAAACTCTCCTGRTTGGGAACCTCCCCTCTGTGGGTCACACAACATCACTCAGGTTTTACTCTGAGCCACCGCTACACACAGCTCTGCATGACCCCTCGCCTCCAGCAGGTGGGCAGGGACCTCCAGGAAACAGGGCCTGGTGGGGGGCCGCGGCCAGCGGGGGTGCCCTGAGCAGCTCTCATTTCTCATTTCTGAGCTGCGAGATGCAGCCCTCACCCCYCCTGCAGGGTCCCTGGGCCCTCTCAGGTCACCGTGGAGGCTGCTCAGGCCACAGTGGGGTGTGGTGGGGTGAGGCTGGAGCCCCCACCGGACACAGTGTCCCAGGCAGGGATGCCACTGGGCTCCTCCAGGGGTCACCTGGTGGCCTCAGGGCACACCTGAGACTAAGGAGGGCCCTGCTCCCTGTAGCCACTCCGACGTCACCCTCTGCAGCAGGACTGTCTCCACTCTGTTTTCTCTCCCTTTCTAAAACTGTTGAAGCTGAAAATTTAGCTTGAGATATTTGGATTTATAGCTTAAAAATAAAAAAAAAATCTACTCCAATTTCCCTGGGTCTAGATTATATTCCTGCATTAATTGTGGGGAATACCTTCTTCCCACAACCAACTCCTCTTTCCCAAGACACTTGGCATAGAAGTTGATGAAGGAACATGAGAAATATTGCGAAGTTGAAATGGGGTCCATTCATGGGTGATTTTCAGAATTGTTTGACTATCTTAGGAATTTATAAGGTCAGTCTTTATTTTCTAAATAGTAATTAAGTATAGGAAGCTGTTAGTTTGGTCTATTAATTTTATTTCATATTAACTTAGGATTCTCTCCCTTCCGATGGTTTTTAAATCTCTTGTGATTAACTGATAAAATTTATGTCAAACAAAATCAGATGGAAATTTCACTTCTTGACTTCCTAATTGCACACCGATTTCTCTTGCTTCGATACATGTGTATGTGTGTGTGTGTGTGTGTGTAGTTACACATATCTACAATTATATAAATATCTAAATATTAATCCCTAATTATATAATTCAATTATCTGATTCTCACTGTATAAGAATATACATATTATATCCACATTCTTAATGTCATTCACTGGTGGGGTTTTACGTGTTGTTATGGTTACTAGGCTGCAGAGATTTATATTTSTACACAGTAGATGCTTACGGGAGCCACAGGTAGGACCCCACTGGAGCACTGCACCTCTTACCTGGTGTGTGAGGCACTGGTGCGGGGGACTCTGGCTACACAATGATTAGCTAATGAGGCTGAACTGACGAGGACACCCAAGGGGAACTGGCTAGAGAGGTGCAGGGGGTGGCCAGAGACTGTCACCTTTCTGCTCCTGACCATCAGGCACCCCAAACCACCCCTCACCCCTGCCCTGGGCACTCAGTTGGGGAACCACTGAACCTCCTCTCCAGGGGCCGTGGCTCCATGGTCCAAGGTCCCAGACCCCACAGACACACAGGGCTGGGGAACCCTGACCCAGGGACCACTCTCCCCACCAACCCTGAACCAGGGGCCACTCTCCCCACCAACCCTGACCCAGGGACCACTCTCCCCACCAACCC